ACCTCGCACAGGCACGCGCGCCGGGCCCTCCGCGGCCGGCGGGGGGAAGGTGGCCGGGCTCCCCCGGCATGTTTATTTATTCATTTGTATCAATGAACGTTTGTGCCCGGCTCCTCCCGCCTCCCGGTGCCAAGGCGCCGCATGTGTCCTCGGCGCGATACACTCACTGGGACCAGCACGGGGCTCCTCCGACGCGGCGAGGGGCTGAGGGAACTACAAAGTTAGGGGGGCTCCAGGTGTCCGGGACGGGGGACTCCGGCGCCCGCCGCCCCGGACGCAGACGGAGGGGCCGGGAGGGGAGCAGCGGGGGCTTGGGGGCAAGACACCTGGAGGCGGGGCCGAAGTCCTGGGCTCGGGAGGTTTGGGCTTGCACCGGTCCAGGGTGAAAGCCCCGGCTGAGGGGGGCTGGAAGAAGCAAATGGGGGCATTGAGGGGCCCCGGGAGATAGGAGCTAGCTAGGCTCGGCGGAATAGGCGCCAGGGACCCTCAGGGGCTCGGGGCACCTCTCAGTCCGCTCCAGACCTCATCCGATGGGGCGTTGACCCACAAGGGACGGCCCGGCGCGGAAAGAGGGGGGCCCTACACCCAGGAGGGGGGAGAGGGAGGGAAGTATCCTTAGCAGCCAAGCGGGCACCGTGCGAGTGCGCACCGTGTGTGTGTGTGTGTGCGCGCGCGTGTCTCACATCTCGTCCGTCTGTAGGTGCCGGGCTCGGCGAGACGCCGGCGAGAAGGAAGAGGAGGCGAGAGGTGAACTGAGTTTGATCCTGCGGCGGCCACAAGTGGGTCCCGGGCGGCGGCGGGGCGGGGCGGGCGGGCGGGCGGGCGGCGGGCGCTCACACGCTCCGGCCGCCGGCCTCTCACCACGCCTCCGGCTTTGTGCGCGCACTTGGGGGGGGGGGCTGGCCGGGCGCCGGCGGCGCAGCCTTCCCGCCTCTATATAAACACACGCATCGCCTCTCTTTGGACTCAAATTCACATTGAGAGAAGCTTTTAAAACCACCAACCCTGAAATCCTGCCGCTGCTTTCCCCTCTCCCACCCCTCTGCCTGCCTTTCTTCCCCTTTCTTCCTCCAGCCGCAACTCCTGCGCCGAGAGCCTGCGCCCCGGGACCGCCTGCCTTTCCTTAATTGATACAATAGCCCCGCTCGGGCTTCCACCTCCTCCCCCAACCCCACCCCGCCTCACCCCTCCCGCCGCCCGCCGCCCGCCGCCCGCCGCCGCCCCAGAGCCCGCCCGGGGCTCTGTCGCCGGCCGCGTCCCGTCCCGGCCGCGGGCAGCCGCTCCGCACCCGCGCTCCGGCCGCCGCGCCCGCCGCGCCGCCTCGCCCGACGCTCCCGCCTCGCGGGCGCAGCGGCGGCTCCCGGGCCCGGGCGCGCCGCCCAGAGCAGCCCGGGGCCCTGGCCGCCGGCCCCGCGCCCTCGCGGCAGCCGGGGAGCCGTGCCCCTCGCCCCTAAGTTTCTGGGTTCGTTGGAATTTTTGGATTCAGGATTTTTCCCTTTTTTTTTTTCCACCTAGGAATTCGAGGGGGAAACTTTTGCCAAATCGATTGCACTTTCTCTACGCTAGTTCTCGGCCCCCCTTCTTTTTTTTTTCCTAGTAGGGGAAGGGGCTTACGAGAGAGGCTCCCGCTGGGCCAAGTTTTCCAAAGTTTTCCGAGTGTGAAGGGTGCGGGGAGAGGTCATCCATCCGCTTGATCCGCGGCTGCATCTCACCACCCCGCGAGCGGGCACCCGCTATAAGGGAACAAACAAACAAACAAACAAACAAAGTTACACCCCGAGTCTCCTCGTGTCTTCTCTCTTTTCTTTTAGGCACCCCCCTCCCTCTCTGCGCTCCCCTCGCAGCCTCCGCCGCCCTTGCCTCGGCCCCTGCTCCTCTCCGCCTCGGCTGGAGGTGCCGGGACCCCTGGCCGCGGCCTCCCCTCCCCCGCGAACCCGCGCCTTCTCGTCCGGCCCTCCCTCCCCCGCCGCGGCCGGCACAGCCAATCCCCCGAGCGGCCGCCAACATGCTCTTTGAGGGCTTGGAGCTGGTGTCGGCGCTGGCCACCCTCGCCGCGTGCCTGGTGTCGGTGACGCTGCTGCTGGCGGTGTCGCAGCAGCTGTGGCAGCTGCGCTGGGCTGCCACCCGCGACAAGAGCTGCAAACTGCCCATACCCAAGGGCTCCATGGGCTTCCCGCTCATCGGAGAGACCGGCCACTGGCTGCTGCAGGTAAGGGCGCCCTCTCCGCGCTGTTCCCCGGGGTCCGCTAGCCGCGAGCGCTGGGCTGGCGGAGCGGCGGTCCGGCCAGGGCGCGCCGGGAGCCTGAAGGCACTGGTCCCCGCCCCGCCCCTTCCCTCCTCTCAGCCGCGGCGCCCGGGCTTCCACTGCCCGCCCGAGGCGTGGTTCGGAACCCACTGGCGCCCGGTGCGCAAGTTCAGGGAACGGACAAGAGAGGTCCCCGATCCAAGAGGGCCCCCAAGACTGACTTTTCCCAGTCGCGGGCGACCCAGGAGGATGCGCGGAGCATCAGGGGGGCTCCCGGTGTGGCGATGGGGTGTCGGGACGCGACCCGCTTTCGCCATCCCAAGAGCGCCAGGCCCCAGCCGCTGTCGGCTTCCTGGGCTTTGGAGGTGTTTGGGGGACCCGAAAACTGAGCGGGGACGAGGAGGAGGGGGGCCGGGGGCAGCCAGAATGCCCCCCCTTGAGAGCCGGGGCTGGCTGGGTTCCCGCCGCGTCGTTGGTCGTGCCAGGTACCCCCGCCTCGGTCCACGGTCCGAGAAAGTGTGTGTGTTTTGTGGTGGGAGAGGAAGGAGGTAACCCAAGGAAAATGAAAAGCTTGAGACCGGAGAGTTCTTGGCTTTCGGAGAAAAGGGTCATTTACTTATTGGGTGGGGACAGTTTAGCAGGGAAAGAAACTTGGGAGAGGTGCGTGTGAGTCCCGTAGAGAGAGCGCTGATGCTTGGTGCCAGACGCCGCGCAAGCCCGCTCCGCCGGTGAGGAGGGTGGGCGCAGCGGAGACCAGACCCAGGTAGGTAATGGGAGATTAATTTGAAATTAACTCTATAAAATGCTAGACGATATCGTTTGCAAGATACACGCCAGACTTTTACTTTTTTTTGGGGTGGGGAGGGGTGCCCCTGGGTTAACCGCGGGCGGTGTGTTTTGTGTTCGCGCGCACGCGTCTTAGTCCGGCGGCTGCCGACGGGAATTAGGAGATGGATGGGCGCCCTGAAGCAGACATCGGGGCGCGGGAGAGGTGAGGCGGGAGGTGACCGCGGAGACCCTTGGTCTTGGAAGTGCGAAAGCTTGGCTTGAAATTAACAGACGCGTGCAATCCGCGCGCACACACACCCCGCCCCTCCCGCCCCGCGCCAAATGTCAGCGGAGCGGGGGCTGGGAGCGCGGCGCGCGGTGCCTCTGCCCTGTGGTCGTCCCAAGTCCTGGAATCAGCCCATCTCTCTTCGGGGTTGTTCGTGCAACCGGGTGAGGTTCACTTCAACCAATAGACTATTCCGGAGAAGAAGTCCAGAGCCTGTCCCGTGCCGCCACACACAAAGGGTTAACTGCAGTGGTGGTCTAGGCTTTTGGCGGAGAATTTAGGAAATAAAATAACTCACACGGGCATCGCCTCCTGCCTTCTTAGAGTCCATCTGCGGAATCCGCGTTCTGTCACCACCCCCCCTCCCTTACCTGACCTTTCTCTGCACCCCCCAGATCCCCTTGACCTCCTCCGAACCCCACAAGGGCCCCAGGGGCTCGAGTCTAACCTGAAGATGGGGAGAAGGACGCGAGCTTCTGCTCCCCCATTCATTCGCCCCGGGGGCCTCAGGCTTTGCCGTGGGAGGGAGGGGGGCTGGGGGTGCATGTAGAGGAGCGCTGAAGGGGTTAATGGGAGCCTCTGAATCCCAGCTTTATTTTTTCGGAGCCATTTATCAGATTTTACGGGGGGGACCTCCAAGGGTTCTCCGTTTCCACTGTGCGCCATCTAAACAGAGCCCAGGGCTAAAAATACAACATTTTTGTATAAATTGGACTCGCGGCCCGAGCGGCCGCCCCTATGAAAGTCCTCTTTGTGAAGACCGTGGAAACGGCGGACAAATAACTCTTTATTAATGCCACAAAAAACGCACTTTAATTATAGTTAGGCAGATCAGAGGCGGGGGGAGGGTGGCGGGAGAGAGGCGGCGGCGACCTCGGAAAATTCACAACCCAACTTTTGTGTCGAAAGAAAAGAAAAACAGAGGAAAAGACGGAGGAGAGACGGAGAGGCAGACGGAGCGAGGGAGACGCGCAGAGCAGACGGAGGGAGGGAACCCCGCGCCGCGCCCCCCTCCCCGTCGCACCTCCACCCTCGCCTCGACTTCTCTTAAAGGGGTAGGCGCCGTCTGGGAGCGCGGCTGGCGGGGGAACTCCCACCCCGACCCACCAGCCGGAGAGGGCGGCGCGTCCCCCGCGGCCCAGCCCCCCTCTGCAGCCGCCTGGGCTCGGGGCTCGCTCCCTGTCGCGCGCCGGGGCCGGAGGCGCATGTGGAAAAGTGATTAGAAATCCGGGTTCTGCAGAGTCACTTTTCGGCCGTGCTGGGGTGTGTGCATTTCTAGCTGGAGAATACTTTTCCGTGGAGGAAAGGAGAGTGGGGAGGAGGGCCAACGCCGGAAAGGGGGGAGTCGAGCCGCCCTTTCGGGGGTGCACGACCCCACAGGTCCGTCGGCCGGCGGGCAGAAGGCCGGACAGGTGTCACCCTCCCCGGCTCGTTCCGTGCTGCCCAGGCAGGAAAAGGGTTAATGCGGGGTGGGGTGGCGAGCGCCTACGTCAAAGGTGAGCGGGACGCCCCCGCCCCCGCCCCTCGGAGGTCCCCTCGGCTTCCGGAGCCCGCGCGGGGCCGGCGCAGCCTGCAGCTCTGCGCGCCAGGCCGGGCCGGAGGCCTAACCGTCCCCTGCGCGCGCCGCGCGGCGGCCGCCCGGGATCCGGTTACCTGCGCCGCCGCCCCGCCCGGCCCCGCCCCGCCCCCGGGAAGCGCCTTCCCCCGCGCTCCCTTTCCAAACTCCAGGGCGGCGACGAAAGTCCTTCTCAGTTTCTCCCAGGGCGAAGTGCGGCGCTCGGGCCGTGACCCTGCCCCGCAGAGCCCTCGGAGGGTCGCCGGGCCCCTCGGCGGCCGGGTCCCGAGAGCGGAGGGAGCGCCACCCCCATCCGTAGTGGCGGCCTCCGGGCACCGGCCGCTCGCCGCTATAAATAATCTTTGGCTTGCGGCCACCCCGCGGGGTCTCGCCAGCCGGTGGCCGTAAGCCTGGAAATATTTATTCCGAGAGGCTCGGGAGCGCTAGGCGAGGAGGTGGGGCTGGGGTGTGTGTGTGTCTAACTTCGGGGTCCCGCTGTCGGGGATACCTTTTCCTTCTCGCAAGTCATTACTACAAAACAGCCTTCCGCGGGTGCCCCCTGGGCCTCCCGCCTCCTTGCATTATTTATTATCCTCTAGGCCCTACTTCCCAGCTCTTGTGCTAGCTATGGAGAAAAAAAAAAAAAAAAAAAAACCCTACGTGCGTGTCTGCGGGGGAGGAGCAAGGGATGGGTGCTCAGGTGGGGTCCTCATCCCTCTCCCCCGGCCTCTAGAGGGTGGGCCGCCGGGACGTCCCACTGGAGACGTGCGACCTCAGAAAGGTTTCTTGTGTGGCTCCCTCAGGGCTCTGGGTTCCAGTCCTCGAGGAGGGAGAAATATGGCAACGTGTTCAAGACTCACTTGCTGGGTAGGCCGCTGATACGCGTCACCGGCGCGGAGAACGTGCGCAAGATTCTCATGGGCGAGCACCACCTCGTGAGCACCGAGTGGCCTCGCAGCACGCGCATGCTGCTGGGCCCCAATACTGTGGCCAACTCCATCGGCGACATCCACCGCAACAGACGCAAGGTAAGAGCCTCGCCAGCGTGCTCTGACCCTCTTCTTCCACCCACCCCCTCTGAGCAAGGAGTTGTCAAAGCGCCGGGGAGGTGCCCGCAGGAATCCGTGCCTGCATTTGCACACGCTGTTAGGGGACCCCGCGAATCCCTGCCCAGATGGCTCTGGGTCTGGCCGGGCCCGCTGGGCCTGCCCTCCTGCATGGCGCCAATATGAGCCCCGCCAGGCTCGGCGGGTGACAGGACCGAGCTTTAGCAAGAGGAGAAGTAGAGCGTTCAATGCCCGTCCCCGCCGCGCCCCCACAAAACTGGAAAAAGAAGAGTGCGGATGGTAGCGGGCATCCCCTTTTCTCCACATGTCCTCCGGGATTTCCGAAGACAGAAGGGAAAGCAGTGGGCATCTCGTGGGCAGCGGTTCAGGGCCTGGCCTGGTAGGGGCGAGGTGACACTTGGGCCACGGTGAGCACCAGTCTGGGAGGTGGGGGAAGGAGCAGGTTTGGGAGAGCAGCCCAAGCGCGGGCGGGGAACCAATTCCCCTCCTCCCTCCTGCCCCCCGCCCCCCCCGCCCCAGCCCCTCACAGAGGAAAAGAAAGTGGGTGTTTATCCTGTGGATTTCCCGAGCGCCTGGAGAGCCGCGGAGGAGGCGAGCCGGCGCGCGGGCGGCCTCCCCACCCCCTCCAGGGCCGCCGCCGGGCTCCGGGCGCGGGCGGCACGTGCTGTTTGAACTGCAGTAACCCGAAAACTGAGCCGCCGCGGGCGGGGCGCGGGTCTGCGAGCTTAGAGCGGCGGGAGGGGGTGCTGCACGACCTCCCTCCCTTCGCTTTTTCCACCCGGGGGGAGGCCTCGCCCAGGTTTGAAGCTTAAAGGAAAGGGAGCGGCAGCCTCAGATCTCCGGGAGGAGTGGCGGGGCCGGGGAGACGGGGGGGCGCCCCCGCCGGAGGCCGTGCGAGGCGGCCCCCGAGAAGGTCGGGGAGGGCATCTGACAGTACTTGATGTCCTCGGTACTACCTGCCAGGTGCCTCTCCGCGGCGGGCGGAGGGGGAGCTCACACGGAGGGGACCCGGGTCCTCTGCCCGATAAAGCGTGTGTTTCAGGAAAGGGGCTCCCGAGCGTCTCCCCCTCAGGCCCGCCACAGCGGGAAGCAGCCGCGCTGCCCGGGCAGGTGGGCGGGGTTCTGGGGAGGGCCTGAGAGGGAGCTGCGGGCTCCGGAATGGGGGCTTTACACACTCTTTGGACACTTGTTTTTTCTTAGTTTTTGTGACTCCACCGGAAGCCCACTGAAGGGGCCGGAGGGAACTGACACTGCCAGGCGTTGGAGGGGAGGGGTGGGGGGGAGAGGGGAAGACTCTGTCAGGACCCCAGTTTGAGACCCTGGGGGTCTGAGGGCTTTTGGCCTAGGATATTGCCTGTGACTCCACCCACCTCTGCCTGAACTTGGCTTTAGGCCTCCAGGTGGGGAAGACCAGGCCTGCAAACCCCACAGTTTGGGCCTATATTGTCCATTCTTGAGGGGGGAGGAGGAATAAGACCCCTGGGTGATACTGCCAGGGCAGCATGGAGAGGGAATGGGGGAGAGGGAGCGGTGGGATGGGACTAGGAACCGTGGATGGGCATTGCTGGTCTTTCTTTGGGGCACCCTTGCGGAAAGCAGTTCATGCTGACCCCAGCTTGGAATCCTAATGCGGGATTCTCTAGTCGTGTGCTTGCTAAGTGGCCTGTTTATGGCTCCTGTGGCAAATGGGTGGACAAAAGCGTCCTTCCCCCCAACTTTCACTCACTGATGCTCCATAAACCTGGCTTGCTGAGCTAAATGGAAGGCATGGGGTTAGGCACCAACACAGAAGCAGGAAACTGTCCATGCCTCAAAGTATAGTCTAACCAGGATAAGGTCAGGGGCACATATTGGTACTGGACAGAATGGCCACTCTTTTGGACAAATACCAAGTCTGGCCAGAGTGGGGGCTACCACGGGCCACTTACTCTCTTTCCTCAAGCCCGTGCTACCTCAGGGCTGGAGGTGGGATGCTGGGCCAAGCCTCTGCCTGGTGAGGGTGTGTTCGCAGGAAGTGGGGCCCAGGTGTGCTGGGGTCCTGGTGGCAGGGAACTAGGAGCGTCACTGTTTCCATGGGGCCTCATGTCCCACCCCTTCTCTGGGAGGTCTGACCAGATGTGCTGGGAAGGGGCTGCTCACAGCCATCACTGCACTCCAGGTGTTTATCCCAGCTTCCCTGGTGGTCTAGGGCCAAGAGGGTGGGGTTGCCAGGGAGAAAGTCTTACCAGTCTAGCCGAGTCCCGGCTAAAAGAAGTCAATCCTGTACCCTCCAACCATGACCTCAGACTGGGTTCCTCCACTTTTGTTACCTCTCCCTATGCCTGGGCCTGGGGTGTCTTTGATTGGTAGGGGAGGGCCCCTATCCCTCTTGATGTGCAGGGACACTAAGGTATTGCCCTAGAAGGGTGGATGGAATCTGGTAGAGGAGCCTGGGGAGAGGGGTGATCAGAGACACAGAAGAGTCAGGGACAGATCTGGAAGCCTCCAATGTCCAAACCCATGCACCAGACGGATGGGGCCTTTTGTCCTCTTTTCCTCTGGGGATAGGAATGGCACTCTTCTGCCCCAAGAGGCCAGCAGCTTCAGGGTACCTGAAATAGTGGCCCCTCAGAACTTGGAAAGCATCCCAGGTGAGACACTTAGCCTTGGAGCCCTGGATTGGGACACACCCCAGAGGTGGTCTTTTGGGTCCTGGTATGGAGACTCCTTGGCTACAGGAACTTCTGTGCCCACGGCTGAGGTGGGGAAATGCTTTGGAAGCAGGGGTGAAGAAGCCCTGATGGCCCATGCAGCTGCCCTCGCTGATCGGGCCTTTGGACTGTCCTCGGCGGGCCAAGATCACTGTTCTCTTGTCAGAAACCCTGTGCATCCTGGGCTTGGTGTCAGGACAGAGAGGCCAGGAGGCACCTCAGCAAAAACGCAGGAGGATCCTTCTTGGGGGTGCTGGGGGAGGGCAGCCCAGACTGTCTCTAAGTAACCTCTAAACTGCACAGCCTCTCACTGCGGAGTTTGTACACCAGGCTCAACTTGAAACAGAAGTTCCCACCTGAATAGGACGGGAATGCAGGTGGCACAACTGGGCAACACTGTTCCTGGAGTTCTGCCCCATCTTCCTGGCATAGGCAGAGTCTTTGTTCTGCCAGCTAAAGTCCTTCACCCAAAAGTTACTGTAGCATCAGTTGGTGGGTGCAGGGGCGATTGAGGGGGAGGGTGGCAGCAGCGGATCTTGCTGAAGGTCAGCAGGGGAGGGAGCTCACAGCCAGCCACCAAGGCGCCTGGGAGTGGGCACCTCCCTCTGCGTGCTCTTGTGCCAGGCAGCAGGCTGCTGCTGTTATGGGGCTAAGCTTGGGGGACCATGACCTCCTTTTTCCCTCCTTTCTGTGTCCTTCCAGGATGGGGAGGGGGTCCAAGTCTGTGATCTCTCTCCCAACCTTGGAAGCCTTTGTGGCCTTGGCGGGGTGTAGGGAGGCTTGACTGGGGTCTGCTCTGGCGCTGAGTCCCCTGAGCCAGTTGCTGTATCCATTCTAGGTTCCCCAGGCTGCAGGGCAGGGCCAGTGCTGAGAAGTGCTGAGAGGAAGCCAGAGTAACCAGAAGAGTTGACCTTACCCTGTGAATAAACCAGAGAGGGGAGTTCCCTTCAGGTTTCTTAGATAAATCCAGAATCCCCCAGGACTAGAGGAGGGCTAAGAGTGAGGGTTTGGAATAGTGGGAGAATGGGGGTGCAGGGGCCCTGGTGGGTGTGGCCAGTCATGTCCTAGACTGTGACCTTGGGAAAGCCCTTCTCCCTTTGGGCCTTAACTTTCCAAGGGGGTTTCTCTCTGGCTGAAACTTTCAGAACCTTTTTCAGATTCTGTGGCTCAGCAGGTACTTGCCAAGTGCTGCCCTCTGCCCGCCCGCCCCCCCCCCCCACCATGGGCTTTTATTTTGTGTGGAAGCATTGGGGGGAGCTGGAAATTAGAGCTGCAGTCACATGGGGGACAGATACTGTTTTCCCATAGATGCTGGGGAATCCAGAACAGGCCTGTAGAGTCTGGGGAGTCTGGCCCAGCCCCTCCCAGCCTGAGGGGCTGAATGGGGACCAGCTCAGAAGGCGGCCAGCATGAAATTGAGGCCCACTGGAAATGCCAGGCAGCCGGGGAGATGACGTCCTCTCTTGTCCTCCCTCTTCCTTGAGTATAAAGTACACACCTTGGCGTCACCCCTGTGCGGACAGCTGCCTCAGAGGCTGCCTGCCCTCTGTTATTCTTTCCACTCTGCAGGCCGTGGCTCCGGTGGCTTGGCTGGTGGCTTGGCCTGCCCAGGCCCCCACCCTCCCAGGCAGCCGCTTCCATTCCTGCCCCCTGTCTGAGTCACTGGCCAGGGGAATGGGTTCCCTCTCTAAAACTTCCTGCTCCCATGGTTGCCTGTTTCATGTCAGTCCATCCACAGCCACCAGCAGAGCAGGAGGAAGTTTTCTGGCCAAGTGGGCCAGCACATCGGGTGATGGGGGTCCCGTGAGCAACTCCCCTTCAGGGGCACTGGGCAGGAGGGAGGAAAGCATTTGCAGCTACAATTATAGGGCAGTGAGTGTTGACAAGCCCCCTGGTGGTTCTCCCTGAGCCCAGTTGTGGAGAATCAACCACCATTCCTGGGAGACAGAACCAGGGATGTGGCCTCTGGAGACAATTGTGCTGTTGTGGAGACCAGCATTGTTGGGGGCAGGGTTTCCAAGCACATCCTTCAAGGAGAGCTCATCCTGGCCTGTCTGTGCCGGGAGTTCCCTGGTCCCGGGTGAGCCACCCCAGCACCAGCAGGGTGGGTAGTCATACCTGCTGCTCCCTCTGCAGGTCTCTGCAAGGTCTCTGGGCCTTACTGGTTCCTGATGAACTTTGTCCCGCATTCTTGGCTCACTTTTGGGAATTCCGAGGGAAGCCCCAGAGGGAAACAAAGCCTCCCTGGCTCTGGTTACACCTGTGGTCAGAGCATTGGCTCCGGGGGCCAGGAGCCCTTCCCCACTTCACACTGAGCCGCTCCTCCGGGCACCTTCCCATTGCCCGAGTGCTGACCCCACTGGCCCCACGCGGCGGCCCAGGCCTCTCTCTGCCCTGGCCAGCACCTCCGCCTCCTTCTGGCCTTTGTGGTGGGTGGTGGTTTCTGGGCTGCCCCGGCTTCGGGAAGTGCCCATGTTGTTAACCCTGGGCACAGACCCAGGGATGAGGCCCTGGAGTTTTCCTGGCGCCTGGGAGCCCTGATGCCTGTGCAACAGCTGGGCTGGAGGCAGGAGCGTGGACTTGGTGACTTCAGAGTGAAGCCCCTCGGGCCTGGAGTACAGCAGTCTACCTGTGCCTGCTCCTTGCATGTGGGTAGTCTTTCTACCTTATGGGGGCTCTGAGGAGAAACATGGGACAGCCAGGTGGAAGGGGACCCCAGAATATCTAGTTAGACTTCTAGATGGTTCAAGATAAGAACACTGGTCTTGGCTATAATTCTCTTTTCAGAAGCCCCATCCTGGGAGTCTTGCTTCCTGCTATCACTCAGCTCCTGCCCTTGCTCAGCATGCACTCCCGGTCCACTCCCTCTGTTCAGTCCCAGTTCCCCCTGGATTCCCCCCAGCCCTTCTGGCCCCCCAGGCTGGAGAGAGAGCGATTCAGCCAGCCATCGCTAGAGGGCGCAGGGAATGTAACCTTCAGGGCAGGGCAAGGCAGGTCTTGTCAGTGGGTCTTGTCTCTTCACTTCTGAGGGGGTGGAGGGGTTAAGTAGGGCTCTCAGTACTCCCCCTTGGAAACCCTGGGGGCTAACCCATTTGGAGTGTATGAGTAGGGGCCTGGCAGACACTTATCAATTGATTCGTGCAGTGCCAGATTTGAGGCACTGAAGGGGTAGCATCCAAGGGTCACGTGGGTATTGGTGTTTATGCGCCCTCTAGATGGATAGGAACCCCACAGGCCAGCTGGTTCAACTTCATCATTTTGCAAATGAAGAAACTGAGGCTGGGGGTGGTGGTGGTAGTTTACTGGGCCATGATTGCCATAAGTTAGTAAATGATCCCGGATTAAAACTCAGGAATCTGGGTACCTTGCGTATCTTTTCCCACCACCCCACTGCATCTTAGAATCTTCTTCATTTGATTTTGGCTGGTTCTCATGGGCCTGGCCTCTGCTTTATCCCCCCTTCCATATGTCCACACTTTGGCCCTGGCCTCCTGGGTGCTGGGGGACCTGACTAGGCCTGCCCCCTTCCCTCCTTGATAGCACCCTTCAGTCTGTCCTGCGCTGGCTGGCTCTGGACCAGGCATGGCCACCCTGTCCCAGCCATTCCCCACCTCCAGCCTCCCCAGCAAGGTCTGGTAGCCACAGTTATCTTTCTGCCTCTCTGATGAGCCTGCTCAGCATCCACACACCACTTGCTGCTTCCCCCATGGCTCTGTGTTGTTTTTAAGGGCCCTTAGTTGGCTGTGTTGGGCTATGGGGACAGGCTCAATCCCAGACTCTTCCACCAAGAGCTGAACCTGGAATCCTAAGGACAGCAGGGTCAGGAACTGAGACAGAGAGCGTGGCCCCCTGAAGGATGTGGCAGCTGAGGTCCCCCTGGTAGTCCCCAGGACCCCTGCAGCCGAGCAAGGTGTGAGTGACCCATGTGGGTGTGGGCTGCCCTGGGCCACCTCCCTTCATCCTCCTACCTTTCAACTGTCCCTTAGTAGCAGGAGCAGCCCTAAACACTGCTGGCTTCTCTGCCCCTCACTGGCCTCTTTCCCTCCCTCCCTCTGCCCACCGGGAATTTCGGAATGAAAGTGCTATTGTGAATGCCTGGCTGGGCCACTGAAGGGCCAGCACTGTTATTTCTGCAAACCAGCCCTCCCATTAGCCATGCAGGGCTGAGGCCAGGAAAATGTTACCTTTTCCTCCTCGAGCTGACTGCAGGGGAAATTCTCACATTTACAGTTTGTGCGGTGGTTGTGTTTGGGGGGCAGGAGGGAGGGCGGGCGCGTGTGTGTGGTTTGCATGGGATGGGGTTGGGGGGTGCTAGAGGACTATTTGTCTCCTTCCTCTACTTTGCACCTCCCATCACTGCCTCCCTCATGACCTTCCCCTTTGTGCTGGTGGGGGCATCCCCCTTCTGCATTGGACCTTGGGTGGGGGATGGAAGTTGTTGGTTATAAGCAGGACCCACAGGCCACAGTAAATAAACGAACACCCTCCCTCTCCTGCACACCGTGGGCAGCAACGTGAAGGACATGTGCAGAGTGATGTGGGGAGGGGGTGTGAGAGGGGGCTGAGGAATCAGGAGGCTGGAAAGCAGGGGAGGTAGAAACAGGGCCTCATTGGCTACTTAAAATGGACCCGGAAAACGCAGGGAATTAAAAAGGCTTCTGTTTGGTTTTGTGATCTTTTGGGGTGGAAAGCCTTGTCCCCATCCCCCTGCCTCCAGACCCAGCCACACTAAAGGCATTTAGATAGTTCAGTGTTGACAAACTCCCTAGGATCCCACCCACTAGGTATTTCCCAGGGAGTGAGAGCAATTTTGGGTCTTACGAAGTTGTATTTGCCATGTAACCCCAGCCCCTCTTGCTCTCCCCTCGGAGGAGAAAAGCCACCTACAGCTTTCTGCCTCTTCCTTATCCACTCTGTTTTCTATTCCTCTGGAACACTTGTGAAGCGTGTCCTGGGAACTTGGGCGTGAGCCCCTGCAGTGTAGGGTTGGCCTCCCGTCCAACCTGGCCCAGCCCCCTCCTATGTTGTTCCCAGCTGGGATGACCTTGTGGCCTACGGACCTACTGGCAAGTGAACTGTATAGTCCCCAGGGCTTGGATGGTTTTCGGAGCACATGGTTTTCAGGGGTGTGTGTGGGGGTAAGAAAGGTGGTTGTATTAAAAAGATGATGACAGCTGTGAATGAGGTGGAAGGTCCTGGCTTCAAATAAAAATGTTTATGAACCCTACTTTAATCCTGTCCTTCCTGTGTTTCCCTCCCCCAAATCACAGAAGTGGGGGGGGGTCAGCATTGGGGAGTCAGTGAGCAGACTGTGTCCCAGTGTGGGGTGAGGCCTGGAATTTTTCCTCCCACAGTCATGGAATGTGGGCTTCAGCCAGACCCAGGGAAGCCCATCTGAGAGCCTCCTGCCTCTCTGCCCTGCAGGTCTTCTCCAAGATCTTCAGTCATGAGGCCTTGGAGAGCTACCTGCCCAAGATCCAGCTGGTGATCCAGGACACGCTGCGTGCCTGGAGCAGCCACCCGGAGGCCATCAATGTGTACCAGGAGGCCCAGAAGCTGACCTTCCGCATGGCCATCCGTGTGCTGCTGGGCTTCAGTATTCCGGAAGAGGACCTCGGACACCTCTTTGAGGTCTACCAGCAGTTTGTGGAGAACGTCTTCTCCCTGCCTGTTGACTTGCCCTTTAGCGGCTACCGGCGGGTGAGCACCTGGGGCCTGGGAAGAGAGAGGCAGAGGCAACTGTGAGCCCACCCTGAGGGAGGGGGCAGCTGACCACCAAGACACTCACTGCTCACTGGCAGGGCAGGGTGGCCTTGACAGAGTGGCCTCTGAAGCTTAGATGAAAAGTTCCCACCCTGCTCTGCCTGGCTGTGGGACCTCGGTGGACCTGCCCCTTCTCCTGGGTGACTAGATGCTTCCTTCTGCCCTCAGGGCATTCAAGCCCGACAGATCCTCCAGAAGGGCCTGGAAAAGGCAATTCGGGAGAAGCTGCAGTGCACCCAGGGCAAGGACTATTCGGATGCCCTGGACATCCTCATCGAGAGCAGCAAAGAGCACGGGAAGGAGATGACCATGCAGGAGCTGAAGGTAGGGGGCCTCCCCAGTACACCATGCCCTGCACTGGAGCTGCACTCAATAGGAAGGGCGCCCAGGCATCTCTGCCCAAATGTCCCTATCTTTAGGCACCACTCTCTGAGCAGCCCTCACTGCACCGGAGCTGAGGGCTTAGCCAGAAGAGAGACTATGTGTCCGCCTGCCATGGGCATGATCTGTGGGGAGGACAAGAAGCGCCCCTATGGGTGGGCTTTCCCTGCTCCCCTCCCCCGAGCTGTGCACCCAGTTCCACTGGTGACAGGATCACCACCCTTCCTGGACCCCAGGCTCTTTCCCGCCCGGTCCCATCTACCATTTTTCAAATATGCCAATGTTGTTCCTTAGGGATCTCTGCGTGGACTGGGTGTTGGTCTTGCGTATTGACCCCTCTCCCCTGTATTCACAATTTCAGTGCATTTTATGGCTCAGTCGCCCTGAGAGGTCCTGTAAGGAAGGGAAAGCTCCTTGCTTGAGACCAGCCTCAGCCCTTGGGGAAGAGCTGCAGGGATTTGGACCAAACTCCTCCTACGCCATTATCTCTTTGAGTTGGTGGCTTTGACAGTTTTCCAGCCTGCCTGGTACTGGCTAAGCCTGTTTGGGCTACCGGCACCAAGACTGTCCACACTGGGCCCAAGTAGGGCTCCCTACCCTCCCTAGCCCCGCTCTGGACTGGAGTCCATGTTTATAAAGACAGGGCTTGAAATGAGAGGGCCTGTTGGGGCCGTTCCGTACACATCCTTAGTCGAGGTCTCCAAGTCCTCCGGGGGCCATCTCCTCTCAGCCTTCTCCCTGCAACCTCACTCTAGGCCCTCGTGAGTGTGGCCCCAGGCTGTCTTTCAGGCTTCATCAGTTCTCCTGCCTACCTAGCAGAGATCCTACTCCTAGGATGCGAAAGGAGCAGGGACTTTGAGCAGGAGGGTCAGGATCTAGACCCTACACCTCCCCTTTGTGTCCCCACATACTCACCTGCACCGCACCTGGCTCCTTGGGGTTTGTTCTTTTTCTTGGGGGCTCACTACACTGATGAAACCTGCTAGGGCTGGCCCTGGATTCCAGCAATGATTGCAAAATGACCATACTTACTCCAAGAGATGTCAAATCTGGGTTGCAGCAGTTGTCTCTTGCCCAGTCAGAGTATTGCCCATGTGACCTGTGTCCACCATGGCCTCAGTACCACAGCAACTTGAGGCTCAGAAGTGGGTGGCACTTAGTTAGATGCCCTGGGAAATGGGGAGCACTGGTAGAGCAGGGCTGACTCCAGGCTGGGCCTGCCCGACTGAATGAGATCACCAATGGTGCTCTCTCTGCTGCTGCAGGATGGGACCCTGGAACTGATCTTTGCTGCCTATGCCACCACCGCCAGTGCCAGCACCTCCCTCATCATGCAGCTGCTGAAGCACCCGGCTGTGCTGGAGAAGCTGCGGGAGGAGCTTCGAGCCCAGGGCATCCTGCACAGTGGTGGCTGCCCCTGCGAGGGCACGCTCCGCCTGGACACCCTCAGTGGGCTGCACTACCTGGACTGCGTCATCAAGGAGGTCATGCGCCTTTTCACACCCATCTCTGGTGGTTATCGCACCGTGCTGCAGACCTTCGAGCTTGATGTGAGGCTGGGTCCCTTGGGCTGGGGTTCGGGGGGTGGGAGTGAGGATATTCTTGTCTGATAGGAGATGGTGCTCTCTTCCAGGGAGCCACCCCACCCCAAATGCTGGCTCAGATGAAACCAATATGTTATCATATGTGATATGGCATGCTGACGTCTGTAAATAAGAGACAGGACTGACATGCTGAGGGGATGGCTGGGCAGGCCTGGGGGGGTGCATAGTGGGTGTCTATAGGAACGTCTGGGTTGGGGCTGGCAGGCAGGAAGGCCTGGGCCCTCTCGAACCTTCCTGCCTCTTACCACTGCAACCCAATCTTGTGTCTCCAGGGTTTCCAGATCCCCAAAGGCTGGAGTGTCATGTACAGCATCCGGGATACCCATGACACGGCACCCGTGTTCAAAGACGTGAACGTGTTCGATCCAGACCGCTTTGGTCAGGCGAGGAGTGAAGACAAAGATGGCCGCTTCCATTACCTCCCATTTGGCGGTGGCGTCCGGACCTGCCTGGGCAAGCACCTGGCCAAGCTCTTCCTGAAGGTGCTGGCGGTGGAGCTGGCCAGCACTAGCCGCTTTGAGCTGGCCACCCGGACCTTCCCCCGCATTACCTTGGTGCCCGTGGTGCACCCCGTGGACGGCCTCAGTGTCAAGTTCTTTGGCCTGGACTCAAACCAGAACAAGATCCTGCCAGAGACAGAGGCCATGCTGAGCGCCACGGTCTAACCGCCCCTAGCCCATCCCCAGCCTCCACCCAGCCAGGCCTGGGGGTGGGAGGGGGTGGAAGGGTAGAAACCTGTGTGTGGGAGGGGCTGAACCTGGAGAAGGGGGAGCAGCCCCTCAGACCTAGCCCTCCCCTGTCCCCTCCCTGGCAAACCCTACCCAAAGCCAACAGGGCCCTGTCCTTCTGGGAAGTGAGGGCTCCCTGCCTGGCTCCTGCTTCTCTCCAGTCTCTCTCTGGTTCCCACCAGCTTAGCTCCTGGGAAAGGGCATGGCTGGGGACTCCGCATGCCAGTTACAGTGTTAAATGTCAGTTGGCTCGTGCTGCAGCATTTGCTTGTGATGTTCAGAACTGGTCCCTCCCCTCCTATTTCTTTTGGACCCTTGTAGTTTGTGAGGGCAGGTGGTTAACATGAGGGCGGGAGGAAAGAGGTGGCCCCTTTGGCTCTCTTCACCTCCCCCACATCCTCCCACTTTGGCTCAGACTGGGGCGAGTGCCCCTCCTGGGGTGGCTACCCAGGGCCAGCATCCTGAGAAACAGAATGCCAGTCACCCTCGGCCAGCGCTGGGGCTGCATTCAGCCCGTGAAATTACCTATTGCTGCTACTTTTTCTCTCCTCTGACCTTGGGGCAAAGAAGCCCCAGGCTCTGTCCTCCTAGCATTACCCCTGGTGGCCCTGGGCATGCGCACTGACATCCCCCCTTCCCACCAGGAGGCCTGGAGCCCATTTTGTTACACAGGCATCTGAGGCCTTGGCTCCTGGGCTGCTCCCTATGGTGCCCCCTCCCCCATATTTATTCACTGATGTAACCAAGTCTTGGCATTACTGGGGTCTGGAACAAGTGTCTCCTGTCCCCTAGCCTTGGGCCCAGGCAGGAAATCTGCAAGTAACCTACTCTCCTTACAAACTGCAGACTTTTTGTGGGTTCAACTTCAGAGCCTTGCTTCCAGGGTGAAACCCAGCCCCTCTGCCTTTGTTCCCTGGTGGACAGGGAAATGGCCCGCGACCTCCCTCCGTCTTCTGTCAAAAATCCCAATCACTGATCACATGGGGATTTGGAGGCTGCCAAGATCCCCTGCCTGGCCACCATTCACCCCAGTGGCCCCACTCCAGCTTGTGAGTATGGGGCAAGGATACGGGTTCTTTCTTCTGATGGGGACGGAGTCCCCCGTCATCCCTTCCTTAACACTTACCCTTTGTCTTTAGCCCTTGGAAAGGTGTCCTTGACGTCCCTTCCCACCTCTTTGCCACTGTCTGCTTGGGCCAGCTCAGGGGTGTGGGGACGAGGTGAAAGCAAGGGGAGGTGAGTACAGGAGGCAGCCCTTCCCCAGAACTGCCTCAGGCCTCCACATGGTCTGAGACATCTGAGGGAGGCTGCAGGAGAGAGGAGGAAGAGGAGGGTACGTGTGATTTGTCAGAAGTGATTTGCTTGAAAACTGACCAGTCAGGGAATGACTGGGGGGAGAGGGGAGTAGCTCCTGCCACTGGCATTTTGAGTGTTGGCAATTTGGGGTGCCTCCTAGGGATGGGCTGGGAGTCTTGGGTGAGTCTAGCAATTTTTGTCTGTGTTCAGGTTTTTACTTGTTTTCTGTGTTTCTCTACTCACTTTTGATGTTGTAAAATCAAGAATCTTCTTGATAAGAAAATCAAAACCACCCAGAAGAACGCAAGACTTCCAGCCCCTAACTGCTTCTTCAAGCAGTGGCCACGTGAGCTGCTCAGTTTCAGAGGGTGGATGCCAGACTCCCACTCTCACCCCAGTTCACACCTACCTTGTGGTAGACTTTACAGGAAGAGGTTCAGACTAGACAGACTGTTCTAGAATCCCCTGTCCTCAAGTGTTCCATCTGGCTCCTCCTTTTTCACTATTAAAAAACTGCGTAGAACAGACATTACTGGCAAAAATGGACGTCTAAAACAAATTTAGTGAGATCTTTCAACTCCCCTGCCCCAACACACACCACATCCTAAAAAAACAGGCAAAAATATGTAAAGATTCATCAGAGCTTGCAAAACAGCTGCATGATGTACTAGAATCTGTTACCCACAGAAAGGCCCAGAGTCTGGAGGGTCGGCTCTCCATTAAGCTGGCCCGGGTTGTCCTGAACTCATGATGTTGACCGAGTGTCTAAGAACACAGTGAAGGCAGCTTCAGGCTGGAAGTCACTTACCCGGCCCTGGTGTGCGTCGGGAGACTGGAGGGCTCAGGGAAGCCTCAGTGACTTTCCCTGGGGTGACCAGCCTGGGAGGGGGCAGAGAAGGCACAGCTGAGGGGGTTGCCTGTGAGGGAGGAAGGAAGGATCATGTGCCCACTGGGTCTCAAAGGCAACAAGAAGAGAACTGAAGAAAGCTCTTGACTGGCTGACAAGGGTTCCAATGTCGAAATGCACCCATCTGTCTAGGTCTGTCTGTGTCTATGTGTCGTGTAGAGGTTTTATAGAGGTAGCGCTAGATGGGTGATGTTTTCTCACTTACCATTCCTAACTCTTGTAACTTGACATTAAAAAGACAAAACTCTAACTGCCATGGGCTTGCAGATTGAAGCACTTTCGATGTTGGGCGCTGGCGTTTGTGTCCTGGGCACCACCCTGGCCCTGCCCGGAGAGCTATAATATTATTTTATACACAAGACTTTGTTTTTCATAAATGTTATAATTTTGTGTCTGTCTTTATAAACTATTATAAGTACTATTTTTGTTATAATTCAAAATAGATATTTAGTATAAAGTTTTTGCTGTTAAATATTTGTTATTTAGTAAAATGAATTTTCCTCTATTGTAAACATGGTTCAAAATATTAATATGTTTTTATCACAGTTGTTTTAATATTGAAAAGCACTTGTGTGTTTTGTTTTGATATGAAACTGGTGCCGTGCGAGTGTTTTTGCTGTCATGTGGTTTTAATCTGTATATAATATTCCATGTTGCATATTAAAAAAATGAATGTTGTGCATTTTGTGATTTTGAAAATACTCAATGTGGCTCTTTTATAGGCTTCTATAATAAACCGTGGGGACTCACCCTCGCTTGGCTTTCTGGTTTCTACCTTCCCAACCTCCCTAAAAGAGCTCCTGGCACAGCCTTCCCTTCAGCCGCGCCCGCTCCTCCACCCCATGCCCATCACTTGGGAAGTCCTTTCCTGCAACCTGGGTCCTGCTAGGCCCCTACCATTTCTTTAGGCTCAGAGCAGTCCTTGGTGGTGTCCTCTGAGGATCTGCTTCCCCTGGGGAGAGGGAGAGGGACCCAGCTGGCTCCCGGGTTGAGTGTGACCGTGGCGGTCTGGGCCAGGACTCTCAGTGCTGGACACAGCCACTCAGAGCACTGAGGACCTGTCCTCAGAGTCTGCCTGGCTTACTTGAGTGGGATGCTTATGTCCTGAGCTGGACTTCCAGCCCCATGCCCCTGGGTGCTTCTCAAAGCCTGTTTTGTCAGTAACTATCAGAGCAAATAGAGTCTCTGATCAAACATATACTTGGGAAGAGGTTAAATAGTTGGGACAGTTTCCTTTCCTGCAGGACTTCCAGGACCGTGAGCCTGAGGATGGGGACACCAAGGGGTGGCATGGTGTAAATATGCAGATTTCAGGGATCCCCAAGCCTATTTAATGACTAAAACCATGCCCTGTTAGCCAATTATCATACTCTGAAGAGCTGCTTCCAAGTCTGGCCACCACAGGCTAGAGATGAGACCAGCAACCTGCACGAGCTCCAGTGTGAAACAAGGACCACCCAGAGCATCCCCAAGACAGACAGGCTGTGGGTAGGAAGGGGTGGCAATAAAAGGCAGAGTTGTGGCCCTCAGCTGCCCAAGGAACCAGGGGGACTTGACCCTGGCAAGAGAAAATCTTCATAGTGCCAGACTGGTCCAAACTCCGTCTTGCCTGGTCTTCTTCCCAAGGTCTCAGGAGGGAAAAGCCTTTCCTGGCTGACCTAAGAAAGGCCAGTTTATGGCTTCGGTGTTGCTTTTCAATACAATCTGATCCAACCTTGGGAACCTCCGGCCAGGGACCCAGGGATTCAGGACTATCCCCACCAGGGTCACAGAGCCTGGACACCCCGAGGAGGGTCAGCCTCTGCACAAGGCCACCAGGGCAGGACGCTCAGCACGCCCTGACACCCTGCCCTTTGCCCTGTGGCCTCGGTCTTTCTGTTCCACCTGCCCCTCCCACCATGCCCTGGCCAACTCCTAGCCCTAACCTGCACTTCCCCAGGGTGGAGGAGAGTGAGGGTGTGCCCCCTTCATCCACAAGATAAAGCAGAGTCTCAGAGTGGTGGGGACTTTCTGGGTCACATGGAAGGGAGGGGTGGTCTCTGAGCCAGAACCGGTGCCACCTGCCCCACCCAGTTCCTGGTCACTCTGAGGGGCTCCCTCACCTCTCAGACAGCGGCCTCTAGGCTCCATAAGAAGCAGCACTGAACATCCCCGCTTCTAGTGGGAAACAAGCCAGGGGAAGGTAGTAGTTTTCAGTGAACTCCATTTCCTGGTGTGGGAATGTCCTGTGGGGAGCGGGGTGGAGGAAGCGTGGCCCCTGGCCTGTCCTCCGGCTGACCGCCCTGCTGTGGGTGGCTAGCCTGTCATCACCCAGTCTGCCCTTGCCTCTGCCCGCAGGGCCCAGTGGGTTGGTGACGTCCCCCACACGGCTGCCTGCTCCCGGGATCTCCTGGCCTGGAAGGAGAACACAGGCCGTTGTGGACAGGCAAACACAGCCGATGTTTGTCCAGGGATTGGGGCGCCAGTTTGGAGGGAACTTGCAGACCGCACATTCTGCCACCTCCCAGCACTTTTCCAAAACAGCCTGGCCTTGGCTGGGCCTGGCTGACCGGGGTGCCTGGGGGCTGGGAGCCAGGAACAGGGCAGGGGAAAGCAGGACCTTGGGGCCAGCAGGGTGAGGTGGACCAGGTGAGGGCAGAGCCAGGCCTTTGCCAGAGCAGCCAGCTCAGCGCTGATGTGTCTTGGGAGGGAAAGAGAGAGCAGGGAGAGTGTCTGAGTTGGGGGCTAAAGAAAAAACAAACTTGACTGCCTCACAGTGTCTTCAGGCTGAGTCAGCCGGGTCCAGAGGCAGGGATGAAGAGGCAGCCCCTCTTCTCCCAAATGACTTCCCTTTTACCAGAAGAGATTGGTTTGGCCTCAAATTTCACCTTCACTGAGGTTCACCAGCCCCAGAGACTCTGGTCTTCCAGGTGACACTTATTCCTGCCCCTTCCGCCTTGATTTCATTCATCTGGGTAAAGAGAACTTCTCGCTTCTACCTTCCTGTCCCCCAAGACTGGTACTTTAAGACTCTGGCCTCCTCCAACTGGTTCCACATCCTGCACAGCAGGACAGTGACAAGTGAGCCCACAGACTTCTGTGGGAGTATAGGGCTGTGACAGACTCCTGGAGGGAGCTGGGTCTTCCCTGGAGCTGCCTGAGGCATTTGGGGGTTCCTTGGCTGTCAGTACCTAGGTGCCTACCTGAGAGAATCAGGCTCCCAGGGAGGCATCAAGGGTGGTCTTTGAGGCAGGTATGCTTGGGCAGGGTCCACTTGCCTGGCTATATCCCCCCCTTCCTAGTTAGCACCCACAGAAGCCCTTCTTGCCTTGCCTGTGTAGCCTTGACGTTTTGACAAGTCCTTTCTTCTGCTGTGACTTGGGCTTTGATTCCCTGAGTCAAATATTTTGTAGAAAACATTGAGAGTGTTGCCTTCTGTACTCGCCCTGAGCCCATCACTGCAGAGGTCCCTTCCCTACCACCTGCAAGGATTCTGGCCTAATTTGCATCTCATAGACATTTCCTGGGCAAAGAGATAACTACCTTTATTTGGTTGTGTTGGGGTGGGGGCCGACAGCTTGCATATGTTTGGCAGCCCAAGGTAGTGGTGGGAGTGAGGTGTGGGAACAGACAGAGGGACCTGAAAGTTATCCCAGCCACAGCCAAGGAGGGAGGAGCAGAGGCTAGCAAGCGGGTGGGGGCGTGGGGGCTGGGGGTAGAGAGGATGACCAGGGCTACTGAAGTGATAGGCCAGGAGTGCAAGAAGGAAGGGTGATGACTGACATTTCAAGAGTGGAGAAGCTCCTAAATGGGAGCCCCTGCTGCTTCACCTGACGTTGTTTGTATTACTATGATGTCAACTCTTTGTCCATGAAAACAATGTCTGCCAAGCTCCCAGGGGCTGTGTGTGACTGGTTCGTGTTTTGTTTTAGACAAGTACAGATTCACAGGAAGCTGCAAAGGTAGTACAGGGCAGGTCCTGCGCACCCTTCACCCAGCTCCCCGTGTGGCTTCTTTAGGTAATTTTGTGCATTGCCAAGACTTGACATGGACACAGGTACAATGGGTGTGTAGTTTGATGTCAGGGTCATGCCTGTAGATCTGCGTGACCAACACTGCAATGAACTTTCATTCCATCAGCACAAAGATCTCCCTCATCTTAAAGAGTGGTGACGGGACAGCCTTGCCTGCCTGTCTCCAGTTTAGACAAGAGGCATTCCGTTAAAACACTTGCCATTAAGTGTGCTGTTAGATATGAGATGAGCTGGCTCCCTTCTTTTGCTAACTTGCAGAAACTTCTTGGAAATCATAAAAGGGTTTTGGATTTTGTAAAATGCTTTTTCTGTGTCAAGTGATGTGATCAAATGTTTTTTCTCTATTGCCTGTTGAAATGGTGCATTACATTGACTGAATTTTGAATGTTGAGTCAGTTTTCCAGACTTGGAATAAATTTCATTTGGTTACTGGGTAAAATTTTTTTATACACTGTTAGCTTTTATTAACATATGTATATATATATATATATATATATATATATATATATATATATATATATATGTATGTTGCCAACCTATCAGCAGGGCAACTTAGAGTCTCCCGATTTAAGGGGTATCAATGTGAAGAAAAATGTCCCTCTGAATTGGCTCCTTCTAAAGCAGGCATCAGAGCAACACCCCTGCGAATCCACACGTACCCTGTACCCACTCTAACCCAGCTTGTCATCACCTCGGGAGGCAGGCAGGTCCTTCCTCCCCACAGCCTCATAGAGCTCCCAGAGGGAGCAGTTGCTAAGGGTTCCATTTCATGGTCCTCCGCCCCAGACACGGCTCCTCCGTCCATGCTGGGACGTGCTAAGGTCACCCAGGCAGGAGAGTTGGCTAAAACCCAGCAGCTGCAGGGTGATTCTGACATCCTCACGTAGGACTTGTCAGGGGTTTCAAGACACCTCGCAGACCTGGGAAATGTGCTCCCCTCCCTTCCCTTTGGCCTGCGGGGAATCCAGGGCCAAAGTCACTGACAGGCAACATTATAATTTACCCTCTGGGTCTTCACCCGTGCTGACTATGAGGACCCTGCTGTCCTGATATGGGGAGATGCACAGACACCTCCTCAGCATTGGAACTGGAGCTAGAACCAAGTCAGCTTAGCCATTAGGGGCTGTGCCCCAAAGGTCAGAATTGGTGAGGCAACTTGGGGTCTGCTTGGTGGGAGCTTCCCCTGGTCTCTCTCTGTGCTGTCTGCTTGAGGAAGTAGAGTTGGCTGGCACTTGTGACTGACTCACAAATGTTTGCTGTACCAGATATTTATATATTTCTATAGACTGTTTCTGTAGAACTGTTGTATTTCACAAGCATAAAATTAAGAAAGAACATTAGATTTGTCCTGGGCAAGAGGTGCAAGGGAGATGAGGTGCGTCCCTTGAGGCCATCTGCACTGCCTAGAGGGAGGAAGGATGCAGTCTGCCCCACAGGCCTCCCTGACCCTGCGAGGGGAGCTGCGGTCTCCTCCAGGCCCTGGTGAGAACAGTGATCAGAGTGGCCCGGACATCCTTTCTGCCTTTCACAAACCTGAGCTCTCTGCTCCTGGAAGAGCAAAGAGCGGAACAGAGAAAGCGCTTCACTGCAAGTGCAGAGTGAGTGTGGATGCTGGTCTGTGCCCTGAATCCTAGGCCAGACTTTAGTTTGCATTTGTGGAACAGGGTCTCTAACTGGACATCCATGGCCAGCTGTAGGGGTCCTGATGCAACTAATCTTACGTGTTTA